CTCTCTCTCTCTCTCTCTCTCTCTCTCTATCTCTCTCTCTCTCTCACTGTATTTTCCTATCCCATTTATATATACATAGCACTTATACTTGCGCAGACGGTTATTCTTTAAGAGTTATGCTCATATTTTAACGCTTATAATTAAGATGCGTGGAGGTGTGTCGTGAGAAAGTTTCTATCTTTCTCCAACCATTTGATAAATGATTTTCTACACACTAGTGAAGTATACGTGTGGAACTGACTTACGCGGTTTTTATTTCTCGGAAGAATAAAATATAGAGAGAAAAATTAATACGGATAGTATTTTTAAAGAGAATAAAACAGATATTTACATTCAAGGTATAGATACATACATTTTTTTATTTTTGTCGCTATGTTTTGTCAGTGCTTATAGTTTGTGTTCGGTTATAATTCTTATATGAAGATGTTTTAGTCTAATATTTATAATTAGTTTTAATGAAAAAAAAAAAAAAATTCTTCTATCCATTTCCATTTTATTGACTTAATCAATCACACGTACCTTTCTAATTAATTAATCACGGTAAAAGATTACATCGAAGGAAATTAAAGTAAAATATAAATTTTATATAATTCGTGAATGAACAAATAATGTGATAAATAAAATGTGTAATTTGTATAATCCATAATATTTCCTTAAATATTATTAATAAAATTTTACTAAAATCCAAAAGTTAATAATAAATATAAATTATAGAATACAATAAAAAATAATCTATTTTCAAAACAACCAATTGATGCAAATCCATATATAGTCATTAAAATGTAAGTAATAAAATATTATGAGAATTTGTCTCACAAATACTATTTATTAAAATCCCATTACCTTTCAAACAATGCATCATCGTAATGTGAATTTAGATTTATTATTTAAATAAAAAATAATTCTATAATAACACGTAGTTTTAATCTTGATATATGAAACGAACATTAATGCTAATTACGCACATTTCATTAAAATAACTTAATTTCTTCACACATAGATATACGCGAATGCACGTACATACATACTTACATCTAATTTCGTTGAAAATTATGAATGAAATATCAATAATTGCAAATATTAAATATATTTAATTAAATATATATAAGTGAATTGTATGATTTATATTTATTATTAAATAAATTCGGTATTGTAACAAGTGCAAATGGCGAGAAAGTAAAATTTCTTATGATATTATTGCCTGATATCTAATCAGAAGGGACTTGTAGTGTGCCACACACACACACACACTGTATTGTACCTCATATTTTAATATTTATAATATAATGTCAGCAATACGTACATAGGCCATAGTCTTTCTATTTGTTTATTCAAAAATTTGTGTGCGATAATTATCAGATTATTGATGATCTATTCAGCATTGTCACTTTCCATACAATGAGTATAAAACATATATTTATATACACTTCGATGTGATTTTTATTTGTTAATTAAAAATTGTTTACTATCATTCGCTTTTATGATTATTAGTTTTAACACTGATCGTCAATTGTTTTTATTAGTATTGTGAGAATGGTAAATGTATATATATATATATATATATATATATATAAAGGTCATTCAGAAACATTTACTATATTCAGTAAATTCATCTATATTATTTCAAACATAATACAATTTACTATGCGTTATTGTAGTAAAATCTCATATGATTGCTTGTATGGTTCATGATCTATATTCCGGTAAACCATATACCTCTATTATTACGCGAGTAAATTTCAGAAAATTATTAAAGAAGGCTTTTATGAAAGTAAAATTTCTTAGAAGAACTTTTAAAACAAAAGTCTCCCATATAAATGCTTGCTACTCTTATTTCAGCTTGGAACTAATATATGTAATAAGCATCATTAATTAAATTTAAAGTACAATTTAGCATGTCCGGCATCGCCGCTCATGGTTTTCGCGCGTATCATCAAGAATCGGATACGCCTTGGCTAGCATCCGGAGAGCTACATTGTGGCACAACGATGAACAGAAAAAACATCAAAATAAATTCAGGAAGAAGCTCATGGCCGACACGGCCCGTGTAACGATCTCTTTACGCGCAAGCAATTTTTACGACGAAGCCACTAGTCCGATCCAAGTCGTCACGCAAAGTGATGAGCCTCTCCCCCCTCTCTCAGTCTAATTTTTTTTCCTTAAACTGTCTCTCTTCAAATATAAAATACTAATATATATATATATATATATATATATATATAAACTTTAATTCGTTACCCTTACAATCTTTTCGATGCTAAAATCTAACTAAATAATCTAATTGAAATTAGAAAATGAAAATGATATTTAAATAGCTAATGGAATTTTAAGTGATCGTGAAATATGAAACAGATTAAGCAATTAAATTCACATTCTCATTATCAATAGATTGCGCAATTAGAATAAAATTGAAGCAACTTAAATTTCAAAAGCAATCGGAATACTTTTTTAATTCGAAATACCCTGTAATCTAATCGTACAAATTTACATATAAAGGTATTACTCACACTTATCTAACGAGACTCATCTAATTTAATTTAAATTAAAACATGCAAATAATTTTATAAATTTATAATCGTTGTGCTAAATATATCAATAAAAATGCTTTTAAGCTAAAACAATTGTTTTATTAAAAATAATTTAGTATCCGAGATCAGGGTTGGTAACAAGACAGTAATATCCATCCTAAATTTTTCTCTATCCGAGAGAAGACAATGGTTAAAAAAGTACTTGTAGTACAACAAAATCGATAGAAACGGAGAAAATGTAGGAGGAGAGAAACGGTGAAATGATTGGAAAATGTGCACCGATCCGCCTCGCGTCTCAAGACTATATGCTACACGTACAACAGGGTCAGGACCCGGTGTCCTTGAACAACGGACGAGATCATTCCGAACCCTTTCTTGCTTTTGCGCTACGGCGTGCTAGAGATGCACCCATGCTATGTGCACATACAAAGTGGGAGAGCTGAGGCGTCCCGCTTTGCGAAGCGTAGATCGACGGTGATTTACTTATCGGGTATCGACGCTTCGCCGGAGGTAAATGGCCGAGTCGTGACCATTAGTCCATGCAATTCCCGTCCTTGCAACTCAGCCCAAATACAGTGCAACGAAGAGAAGATGCGAATAAAGGAGAGAGAGAGAGTGAGAGAGAGAGAGTGTGTGAGAGAGAGAGAGAGAGAGCCACGGAGCATCAGAGGAAAGAAGAAATCGCCAATACGTAGAAAACGACGCCGTGTGGGGCCTTAAACTATGGGCCTCTGACATTCTTCTTCCTTCTTTATATTTGTTGTATACATGTATTTGTGTATCTATTCTCGCTTCTTTACTCTCTCTCTCTCTCTCTCTCTCTCTTATCTGTATTCGCCTTTTTCCTATTCATCTATTTATATGTATTATGATTTGTACATATATATATGTCTTGTTCACCTGCTTTTGAAACTTCATTTTTCATTTCATAAAGATTTTTGTACTGACACAAAATGAGAACCATGGCAAAATTAGCCTCGAAATAATTATCCCCCTCTCTCTTTCGATCAATCTATCTATCTCTTTCTTTTGTTGTCTTTTTAATTCGTGAAATCACGATCCATTTCTTCCCAGGAAAATTAATGATTAAACGACAATCATGCAATGATGAACTAACAATAATAGAATTATTATAAGTAATATATTCCGATATTTTTCAATAAGAAATAATTGGTCTTGGTATAAGAAATTGTTGTGTCTGCATTATATAAAAATTTATCTAAATTTTTTATATACGATTGCCGAAATATAATATTAAACTAAAAACTATATTATCACGATAACATTAATCAAAATCTACAAATTCAATCACTTTAAATTTAATACATTTTATTAAACAACAATTTTATTATAGCTTACTAACTAAACATTATTTATAAATATCTTTTATGCATCGTGTTGATGATTTTACTTTATTTGGCATATATATAAAAAAAAAATTAATACTAATTATACACGGATAGGGTATAAAATATTGAAAAGAATTTAAAAAAGATATTCAAAGGAAGCATTATTCCTATATAGTTTAATAAGTAAATAAGCACTCACTGATATGAGTTGATATGTATGAGTAACACATAACTCAAATTTCATTTACTTAACGTATGGATAATAAAGACCAGTAACCAAGCGACTTTAAAATGTTTACAATAGTTAAAACTGTTTAAACAATGTACAATTATAATAAGAAATGTTCTATATATACTGACCGGTAATAATCTTTTTTGCAGTAGATGTTGCCGTCCCTGCTAAAGCAGGTGACCTCGCCATCGAGTCCTTGCCGACAGTGTGAGCACTGCAGACAGGAGATGTGCCATCGCCTGTCCACCGCTTGCAGGTAGAAGCGATCAGATATTCTTAGTCCACAGCCAGCACAGACTACTGCTGGACCGTGATCATGATCTTGATGGGAAGGCGGCGTCGACGGAGGCTCCAATTTTGGTATTGCATGCATAACACTATGTTCGGATCCCTGTTGTTGCTGTTGTTGTTGATCGGTTGATGCCTGCTGGACCTGTGACTGATGGAGGATGGTTTGCTGGTGCTGCTGATGGTGATGATGGTGATGGTGATGATGATGATGATGGTGATTGTGGTGAGGCGTTGTTTGAGGTGGTATGCTAAGATCATTAGGATGCTCGTAGTTGCTGCGATACTCAGTCGTGTCTGTGAGCAATCATTATGATTTCTGTATTAAGTTATTTAATTTTTTATTCTATTTTACATATTTTTTATTTTCATGTTTAACATATCGACCGTTGAAAAATATAATTGTTATTTATTCTTTATTTTTTATTTTTATTTTTACTTTTATTTTTATTTTTATTTTTAATTTATTCTTATTTCTTCTTCTTACGGAAAGCAAAACTGTACCAGTTTTATATTTATAATATCCTTAAGAAAGCTTATTAATGATAATTTTTCGGTTGAAAGGAATCATTTCCGATATTTTTTAGAGCGATCGTTTCTAAAGAAATATTTTAATCCAATTAAAATTCCAAATCCTTGTAGATGTTAATAAAATTATTGGCTACATATTGTATATTGAATAATTATTGACCAATAATGGTGATTCGTTGTCTGTGTCATCTAATCGTAATTCAATATCATTATCAGAAATTATTGAATAAAATGAAACATATGTTCGTATGATTCCTATAAGTTAAGATTAAAAAAAATTATCTTTAATTCTATATATTATATTCTATATATTAAGCAATTTTATAATTTTTATTATCTATTGCTTTGTTATTATTGAACGGCATATTGAATAGTATTGAATAGCGTATTTATGAGAGCAAAAATTAAACAACTTATAATAAAAATAATCATATCAACCTTGTAAATATGATGTATTTAAAAATAAAATTTATATTTCTCCATATTTTAAAAATACAAGGCATCGAACAATTCTACTTGATATTGAATAGAATGAAAAATATTAATATAACTCGGTACGATATGTAAATATAAAACTTCGTGAATTGTAGGAGGATAGTGAGAATAAAACTATTTAATAGCTAACAGATTCTTTAAATGTCATATTCTATCAACATGTAAATGAGAGATTCTTTTTATATTTATCAGTGCAAAACGCTTTTAAAAGAACACGTGAAACTCTTTAATTTAAATATTTCATGTGAACTATCTCTTTGTACTTTTCAGCCAATTCCCTCTATGCAACATTGTTTAAAATAACTTATAGAAAAAGAAATAGATAGAAATATAGAGAGAGTAAGAGAGCAAGAGAGAGCGTGAGATTAATAGAGAGAGCGTGAGATTAAGAGAGAGAGAGAGAGAGAGAGAGAAAACGGAAGGGAGAGAAAAGGTTAAGAGTGAAAAGAAAAAAAGTTAAATTATAACAAATACCCAAGCGACATCTAAATTATGTACCTCCCGTAGAGAGAATGGTAGGGGGTAACGGTACTGCCTCGATTAGGTATTGTATAATAATTTTCAATTATTACAACCATATAAGGTATGAAGTATTTATAAATATATTCATTTTTCCGTTAGAAAATAATGGTTTGTTATGTTTAACACATTTTGATAATGTGACAACAGGTTTAAGCTTTAAGTCATATATACTCATAAGTTTATGATATAAGAAAATTAATTTTATAATTATAAAAAGTCTTTGTAATCGATCCATTTATAATATTATCATGTATTTTATGTAGAAGACAAATAATAACTATTGCAGATTTTTAATGCGAACAAGGCAGAAATTACAATGTTGTATATTTAAAGTCTAAATCTTTCAAGCTTCATTCTATAATAGTCATTTATTAAAAAGCAATTAGATTTTACTCTAATATCCACCGATATATTCTAATAAAATATAGATAATAATTTATTTAATCCACGAGAAGTTAATGTATATCATTCTCTTTAATAAAAAGTACTAAATTAATGTGGAAATTTATAATTTAAAATTCGTCTAAGTATAAAATAATACTATATAAAATATAACATTCTCTCTCTCTCTCTCTCTCTCTCTCTCACTCACTCACTCTGATCGATTAGTCAGCTATAATATAGTAAGTAGCGTTTTTAGGTGATATAGGATTACGATCATTAGTACTATATCAAATAACAAGAGTATGTGAAATACTTGTTTAAACCAAAGTTCTCACGAATAATTATCGCGATAAGCATCACAGGGGTACAGAGCAAAAAATAGGCATACAAATTCTTTGAAAACCATGTCGTACCTCCCGGAGATCCATAGTCCCTCGAGTCATAAGAAGTTGAGCCAACGCTGTAGCAATTATTGTTGGTGCCGCAATGCGTCTGGTGCAGACTCGTGTGACCCGGTTGACTGCAAGGATGCTGTTGCTGATTATGATGGTGATGATGGTGATGCTGCTGTGGCTGTTGCTGTTGGGGTGGCGTAGGACTAGATGGCAAGGTTGTTGGTCGGGCAGCATCGCCCATCGATGCTGGCAGGCATGGGCTCAGGTCACGTGTTTGATCCGAACCGCCCGTGCCCACAACCAACGCACCAACCACCACCCCTGCACTGCCACCGATACCAGGACCACCTTGGCATCCTAGTGTTAAACCGCTACCGCGCTCCTGTGAGTTCCCCGGCTGCTAAAATAAAATTATACAAACATAGTATTTACATTGAAGGAAGGAATGACTGTATAATCCATTGATCACATAAAACATGCCTGATGCAAAGGAAAACGTAATCAATAATATATTTATTAATTGTAAAATGTAGTATTTAAATTTATTATTGAGTTTACTACATTTAGGATTATTATTTCAACAATGGGGAATAGAATTAGTAAAAAATTTTTAAACTCCTATACTTTCATTGAACATACTATAATGTAGAAAATATTACCAAAATTGAAATAAGTTTATTTTTACGTACGCATGTGCATATATTTGCATCTGTACGTTGTATAGATTTTATTTACATAAGGACTAATCTCTAACGGTAAAACATTTTTTTTACACTTATAAAACCATACATAATTCATGATTTGTATTTCTTTTACTGTTTGCAAATTCATCGTACACTTTCTCAAACTCTTAATACTATGCTCGAAACTATTGTTGACTCGTATATTCCGCCAAATATATAAAAAGTCTATAATTATTTGATTTAGCTCAAAAGTATAACACGAGCAAAAAATATAAGTAACAAAAAAAAAAAAACTAAAAGATTTTCTATTGCCTATTGCTTCCACCCTTTGATTTAGCTGATTGATCTCTTAATTTTCAATCTCGGTACGCGGTGATGCATATCGTGAGTGAGATTCCACCTTCAATATAATTTTAAATGATGGATTATCTTCCTTTGGATAAATTATAAGAATCGATGAATCACTGATTTTTTGTAATCCAAGACATGCTGTCACTTATAATTATGTTATACATTTTTTCGTTAACTCGTCAGCTCCATAACGTTAATATTGTAATTAAATAAATATTTAAATTGAATTATCAGAGTAGAATATTGTTAGTGTAATTATAACGTAAGCTATATTACAATTGGAATTTTATAATTCCATAAAAATCGTCGTTTACAGAATAGATCGAAAGAATTCGAAAATATTTTTAACTAATTGTTTAATATACATCGACATCGTATAAAATATTAACCATAATTATCATGAAAATATTCCGTTAAATTTTGCAATTACTTAAGAGTTTATTTCAATTTAAAAATAAAATGCTTTAAAAATTTTACAAAATAAATCATTAAGACTAAAGATTGCTAATGCATTTTAAGTGGATCGTACTTATTTGATTATAAATTAAACTATTGTAATAATAAGTAAAAAATTAGCCATATATTCTACATCGATTCATTCGATCACTGAATTATAACTTCCATATAAATTGAAATAACTTAGTACAGTAGTATATTAGTAACTCTTTGTATATTTGTCCTCCTTTTTCTTTCATGAAAAAAAAAAAAAGGAAAAAGTGTTATTACAATATAATGTATTATGATAAAAAAAAAAAAAAAAAAAAAAAAAAAATTAATAATCAGATTTTATGTTTTGAAATGTTAGAACGTATCTCTGAGAATATTATGAATTTTGAAAGGAAATTCCATTACTCCATAAATAAGGTAATGTATACCTTTTAATTTATTATTAATAATAGCATTTTAAAAGATATATTCCGATTAAAATATTTTATCGCAGGTTTCGAAATTTTTATTATTAACTATATTAAAATGTTCAATGGCTCTTCAAATTTTCTAAATACATTCAATGTTTTATAACTTGAGTAAATAGACAAAATTTTACTTATTAATTTTTTTATCTATTCGTATTTATTGTTAAGTTACAATAGTTAGTATCGTTATTACTACTAGCTTTTGAAAAGTTATGCATTCGCAGAATCATGCAGAAACGAGAAACTAACATTTATAATAATGACACATGTATTAAATTCTCAAAAGAATTTCTTAATATACTTATGAATTGTCAATATCTATGAAACAACAGTTGTTCGTGTCATTCACAGTAGATTAACTAAACGCGGAAAGAAAGAGCAAGAAAAAAATTTAAAGATAATAAAGAAACAAGAAAATAGTGAAAGCAAATATTTCAATTCATTTATAAACGCGAATAAGTTTAACAAAAAATTTTTTGTCCATCAATTTTGAATAAGAACAGTTTCTCTGAAAATCTGAATCAACATATCTACGTGTGAACACGAGTAAAAAACTATAATTTTTGTATAAGGCGAAACTCATACTATAAGTACCAAGTTGCGGCAACTTTTCATTCGCCAATCTCATACGAAATAAAATATGATAAAAAATATTATTTTTGGTTAATTTTGCATTAATTTATTATAAATATCATTAAGTTACAAATAAATATTAGTGTAATAACAATAAGTCATTTATAGATAATGAAGTTGTTAAAAATAACTAACATACTTAAAAAAAAAAAAAAACTATTTTTTAGGAATAGCATATAGACTAAAAGGCGCGCATATCGTCAGACATAAAGCAGCTTTGTTACAGAATTACATTGTAATTTTTATATGCAATAATTTTATTGAATTGTAATCTCTAAGTTTCTATGATAATGAAAGTACTATTTATTCCATCAAAACTGAAAAATAATCAATTTTTGAAGCTATCAATCACACTCATCAACAATGAGTAATAATTAGGATATTTCTTAATTAAGAATCAGAAAATATTATTTAAATAGATGGTTTAAAGCTTAATACAATTTTATCGCGTATGAATAATAATTTATCTCTTAAAGGAGATAATATCTTGAACTTTCTTCCATGTGATGTTGCACAAAAAAAATTTGTGTTCAGCTGAACTAGTGAATTTGAGCTATTGAACTTTCAATAACGAAAGGATACATAATGCAATAACTTTTTCAATATAAATGATATATAACGAATTCATTAAGTTCATATTTTGAAAATTGTTTTAAAATAATTGTAATTAATTAAAGATTTCTTAAAAATCAGCAGAAAAAAAAACAAATGTATGAATTAGAAATTTTAAATCATTTAATTACTTATTTCTTATCTTATAATAACCACCTTCACTGTTGCAAATGCATATAATTTATTTCAAAACAATTCATAGGTTTACTTTATAATTTTATAAAATATTTTTAATATATACTTATTGGTATAATTATTTTTAATTTAAATTTTTATGAAGGTCACCGCTGTTTTTACTTTTTTATTGTTGAATGGAAAATTGTACGTTATATGTTTTTATATCATACACATAGAAATTCGTATTTGCTATTAAACTATTGATTTTCTAAATAAAAATTCAAAATTTATTTCAATACTCGAGTGTTTTAATGATCGTATTGTATATAATTTTCATTAATAGATAGCCCGACTATATCTAAATAATGTCCCCAAATAGAATTTTAATTATAAAACTTTGTGATAAAAATTCTTGAGCAACAACATACTAATCGAAGAAAAAGTAGGAAGAACTTTAACACTTTATCAAACTTGATATACTGTTTTCCTCGTCCCATTGGATAGATTTCTTTCATTTAGATGATTGAGCTTCATTATGATATTGTAAAATTATGTTAAATATTTCTCTCAACATTAATGTATTCAAATAAATGTTGATTAATATATACTATTTTCTGATATTTAATCATATTTAGTAAAAATTAAAAATGTTAAAACTGATTGATTATTTACTCTGAATGATTCTTCTACAACTAAAGGTTGTTAAATATTCTAAGCGATTGTTTAATTCCTGTATTAAATACAACAAATTTGCAAATATAAACTAAAGCTGTAAAGGTGAGAAAATAAGTGAAGAAACATGAAAGTGAGAAATTAAAATTTATTTCATCATTGATAATGTCGATAAACAGTTGGAATAATTTATGAAATTATTTTCACGAAGTTTATGTGGCAAATTGTGACAGTTGATTTTCAATTTATATATATTTTATGTATAACAAATTATTACGTTAAATTATTATAATTTATTAAGTAATATTTAAAATATTATAAAATTAATTGCAATTAATATAGAAGAAAACATTTTATGTAATATTATAAATAATCATTATGACTACTAACAATCATTATGATATATATATTATATATATAGACAGAGGGGGGGGGAGTGAGTGAAAATTACCTTCATACACCTTTGAACTATAAACGCCTTGTATCAAACAATTAAAACCATTTTTTGTAAGCGTATACAATCAACACAATGAAAAGTAAAAAAATTAAATGAAAAACTTTTAAAAAATTACAAACTATATATATTTCATTGCAAATCAGTTTTCATTACATCCTATCATTTGAATAAAAATAATTTTTCATACAATTTCTAGAATCTTATAATTTATTAATGAAATTATAGCGTTTACACTAGTGGCAATAGTGATAGTCTTCAATTTTATTACAAAACTTTTTACAATCATTCGTATATTAAAAAGTTAGAAATTAAAAAATAATTTAAAAATTAAAAAAGTTTTTAATAAAACATAAAAGGTATAATCTGCAGGCTTCGATAATAAATTAATGTTTATATTTTCATGCATAATTTTTTTTATTTATTACTATATATAAGAAAATATTGTAATTTAACGTGTACTTTATTATTTTAAATATTTAGAATACAAATTGTTACTTAATAGTTTATATAATTTCATTTGTACGTACATTTTACTCTATAAGCTTATTTTAATAATGAAATAAACATATAATAAATTTTATATGCTAATAATTTTGTCAATGTAATTTTGAGTTGCAAATTTTAATGTGTAATTCATATTGTACAATGACAGTTATTTTTAGGAAACAAAAATTAATGAAGAAAATCCTATAGTCTTAAGACAAATCTAATATAGATTAATTATTCAATTGTGATACACTATATTTTTCATTTTCGTGGGGAAATTTTTCAATTTTTTTATCCCTAATATCATTAAAATATATATATATATATATATATATATATATATATATATATATATATATATATATATAATGAAATAACAATGAATAAATGAAAATTATTAATCAATAGAAAAAGCAAAGTTTATTTCTAAAAATGTTTAAAAAAAAAACCAAAAAAAAAAAAAAATGAATAT